TGATAGTGAACAAGTCTCATGAGATCTGATGGGTTTACCAGGGGTTTCCACTTTTGCTTCTTCCCCACTTTTTCTTGCCACTGCTGTGTAAGAAGTGCCTTTTGCCTCCATTCTGAGGCCTCCCCAGCCATGTGGAACTGTAGGTCCAATTAAACCTGTTTCTCGTCCCAGTCTCAAGTATGTCTTTATCAGCAGCGTGAAAATGGACTAATATAAGAGTTTTATTAATTCTGAGGGGATTTTTTCAAGAAATGAGAGAGGAGAATAAGGGGATTATGGAAATTGGCAAGTGTGAAAGAAATATTGTTCTCTGGAATCTTAACTGGGTTAAAAAAACCAACAAATAAAAGACAAGAGGAGGCTGCTAGATAACAAGAAAGGAGATGGTTCCCAAGCCAGAAAGTGTTGATGATGCTAAGCCTTTGGTGCAGAAGGACTGATTGAAAGGACTGAGGGAAGGTTGAGGAAGAGAGAGGGATGTCTACATTTGGACTCATGAATACAGCAGTCATGGGTGATGACAGTGTTCTAGGAAGCACCAGAGGCAAGCTGATAAAGTGGAATGGAGGCGAAGGCACTGGAAATGAGCTGGTAGAGGGACTGAGAACTCAAGGTGTAGGACTTGAATGTCAAATTCAGTGGTAGTTAGGAATGGGTAACATGACTTGTCCTGGTATAATAGTCAGGTTCTCCAGAGAAACACAAGCATCTAGGAGATATATGTACACATATAGGTAAAGTTATTATGAGAACTAGCTCACGTGACTGTGGAGGCTGAGAAGTCCCTTGATGTGCCATCTGCATGCTGAAGATCCAGGTGCAATTCAGTCTGGGCCCAGAGGGCCAGGAGCCAGGTGCACTGATGTCTGAGGGCGGGAGAGGGTGGGAGTCCTGGCTTAAACAGTAGACAATGCCCTTCCTCCTCATTTCTGTCCCATTTGGGCACTCAACAGAGTGGCTGGCTGGTGCCTGCTCATGCTGGTGAAGAGGCTCTGCTTACTCAGCCCACCAATTCAAACACTAATCTTCTCCAAACACAGCCTCACAGGTACCCTCAGAAATAACGTGTTACCAACTACCTGGGCATCCCTTAGTCCAGTCAAGTTGACATCTAAAATTAAATGACTACACCTGGCTTCCCCAGAAAGCATGGCTGGAAAGGGAGGCAGGAGTGAAAGTGCTGTCCAGGGCACAGGAGCAAGGCGGGGGTGTGAAGCAGGGAAAGAAGAAGAGCTGTGCAAAGTCTGTCATTGTGTCAGTCACTGCAGCAGGCAACTGTGTGCTTGATCCCAGGGACAGCGAAGGAGCCATGTGACAGGGGTCTCGGGGACTTTTCTACAGAAGAGAAAGAGGGAAATGTTTACCCACCAGCTCCCATTCCCCATTGGTCAAAGAGCCCCACATAGGGTGTGATCCTCCTAAACTCTGGGTTGTGTACCTGTGGGCACTAAGCAGGTTCACAGGGAAACCCTGGGGCAGAAGACCAGAGGCACATGGCATGGAGTTGAGGGTGGCTGTCCCACAGAGCATAGCTGGAATGAGTGGCAGGTGCAGCTGAGGGCATTTGACGGGGTGCCCCAGAGACGGTCCATGCAGTCCACCCAGGGACAGTCACGCTCACTCACGTTATCTGTTAAATCCAATCTGCTACAGCATCAGTTTCAAGTCAGTGGCTGGCTATAACCTCTGCAAACATTTAACTTAAAAGTATCAGTGAAACAAGCTCCTGTCTCCACTAGTGCAGATGGCTGTGTGGCAATAACCGGTGTTCACAGACTCCTCCTCCACCTCCGTATCTGGATGTCCCCCACCCCAGCCAGTGCTTGGGCTGATCTGGGTAGCTTCTGGGTTTGGGTCCTTTGATCTTCTTACCCAGAATATCTAAGGCCTTGGTTGTCTTGCCCTTGTCGGGGGGCAGGGGCTGCAGTTGCCTGTTCACCATCCTCACTGGATGTGGAAGCCCCAAGGGAAACCCCAGGAAATCACCGCACTCCATATAAGACGACTCCTTGAATCCATTAGGAAGTGGAAACTCTAGCTCTTCACAGCCATCAGGATCCAGGACCTTCACCAGTTCCCTCTTGCCTGCTGGTTCACTGGCATCTGTGGCCCGAAGGTGACTGGGTGAGAATCACGAATTTAAGCTGAGCAGATGCCCTGTTGTGCTCACTTAGTGGAAGCTTTTCCCTTGACCACCACCTCCACCCTCTCTGCCACCCCTAACCCAGGGCCTCTGATCAGCCCAAACCTAAGGTTGCTGTGGCAGGAAGCACACATTCCCCAGGGATCATGGGGGTGACCAGAGGGTTGGGCTTACTTCCACACCTTACTTACCTTGCCCGACCTTCCAGTCGGCTTCTCTCAGGCTCCTGCCCAGCCAGCCCTGCCCCTTGGCTCCTCCAGGAGTCTGTGCGGGCACACACCTCAGGTGACTTCTCCATACAGATTGGTCAACCTCCAGTGCGGCCGCAGCTCTGCCAACAAGGAGGAATTTTCTTCACTTTCGTCCTCCAGGGACTTCTGAGTGGCAGGCGTGGGCAGTCTACTTTTGATGGTTGGTGCTGATGCACAGGGCTGCCCTGTGTGGCCCAGGCCCAGTTCCGTCCCCCTGGCAGCTGATTGCAGGGAAGCCCTGGAGTCTGCCGATGCCAGCTGAGAGCAAGGTATCAGTGCAACAGGCAGGGGCACGGGAGCCTGGGCCATCTGTGCACATCATATTCTCTTCCCCTGGGTCTGCATGGACTGAATCTTGAGCATCCCAGTTCCTGCGTGCAAAGGATTGTTGCCGTACCTACCCAAACTTATGGCACAGGGGGCATCCGACTGCATGCAGCCCTGCCCAGGAGCTCCTGTGGACCAGGGCCCAGTGTTGTGCCTGGAGCTGCTCTTCAAATGTGAGTAGTTCCTGCCACAGAAGGGGCAGCCCTACCCAGATCCCCAGGGGCCCATGCTGCAGCTCTGCTACTGGGGCTTTCCAGAGACTGGAGCAGAGGTGTGCTCCATCGGATGCTGTGTGGCCTAGGGGCAAACTGCACACAGCCAGGGCCTGCAGTAGAGCCTTTTCTGGCTCTGAGCCCCACTCAGAGTTGGCAGTTGACTAGGTCACATGATAAACAGATCAGATCAGTACTTCCAGGTGTGATTTATATGGCATCAGAAATCCACGAGGCCTGGCAAAAGCCAGATGCCGTCTTAGTGGTGGGGAGTACAAGGTGCAAGAGCATGTCTTTCACCCCAGAAGAAATGTCCCAGCATCACCCAGACCACCGGATGTATGAATTTTGCAGTGGGCAAAACCGCTTTGGGATCTGCTTCCACCTTCTGGAGGACATGTGCTGTGAATACCAGTAGAGCATGTTATGCTTCCAGGTCAGAGGACTTGGATTGCACTGGGTGCCTCTGAAAGGTCAATCAAATTGTGATTTCCAGCATTAGGTTTCTCAAGGGACAATGCATTTATTTCTATCTGAAGAATGGGACTATTAACGTCTTCCCTACAATCCTCCTAGTGTTATTATGTGGGTCAAAAGAGGAAATACACAGGAAGCACTTTGTCCACTGTGAAGCACTGCTCAAATATTAAATGATTGATATTGTTATCCTGTTCTAGATGTTTCATTGCCTTTGTGTGTGTGTGTGTGTGTGTGTGTGTGTGTGTGTGTGTGATTGGAGGCTTGAAGGAGGGGAAAGGCATGAGTTATAGTTGCCACAAACAGAGCTCAGGGCCAGAAAAATCCTGAAAATGAAGAGAACAGGGCAAACAGGGGCATGCTCCCATCCAGGTGAGCCTGTCCTCAAGATTCCTCTACGTTTCAGCCGGTGCCCTGGGATGGACAATTGGAGGGTGAAATGGAGTATTTCTAAGCCCTAATTATTTGGTTGATAGTTCTCTTAGGTGGAGCTACACCTACTCAAGCTGTAACCAAACTCACCTTGAATGGAAAGATGGCCAAGCACTTCCTAAGTTCCATGTACGGCATGCGTGGCCTGCTCACTCCATGAAGCCGGCGGCCAGGTCAAGGCCCTTGGAGCAGACCTCTGAGGAGAAGGCAAGGTGTCGTCCAGACACTCAGCAGCAGCGCACTATTTTGGGCTGGGAGCTTGGTCTGGGATGGATCGGATTTTCCTGAGGTCTCATTTTTCCTTGAGTAGAAGGCGTGCCCCAGAGCAAGCAATTTGACTTGGGCACAGATGACCAAGTGCTTGGATTTCTGGGAATGACAACTGGAGCATCACAACAGGTTAATGACAATGACACAGGAAGAGGCTCCAGGAGCAAAACCTGGGGGGGTTGGCTTCAGGATTGGGTTCTGTCTGGCCTCCTCTGCTCTGTTGCAGGGCTGCATCAGAGTTGAAGATGGTCGGGGGCCAAGCTGCTCCCCTGTGCACTGGCTTTCTGGGAGCAAAAGTGTGCTGGAAATCCAAGCCTTCCTCTTGGCGGTGATTGAAGGAAATCACTAGAAATACAGCAGTATCCCTGGACACCCAAACAAGTGTGACTTATGGGATGCAATCTCAAAGCAACTTTTATTGTCAGTGTGCTGATTTTTATTTTTTCCTGGTCCTGGATAAAAACTCAGCAGTCCTTAAGTTTTATTAAAAAGAAAATTTAGAAATTAGAAATTAGAAAAATATTGAAGCACAATACTAGGGTAATGTGAGATTATGAAAGCACACAGAGCCATTCATGCAGAAGCTGAACAGTGAAGAAGGACTGGGAGTAAAAGTGGAAACATTCTTCTTTCCAGGGATGAGCCTCATGGTTTTGTGCAGCTGACATTAGGCCTGGCCTGAGTCAAAAAAGTAAGTCTTCAAGGGCATTTAGATGTCTGCAACTTAAGTGTGGTATATCCACCTATTTTCCCCAAAATCAATTTGCAGACTTTTGGAGAGAATAATGATAAAATGAAAATAGCAAGGAAAAATACACTTGTACAAATTTAGGAACAAATTTGATGGCATATTACTGCCTTTTAAAATTAACGACAATTCTAAAACTGGTATATAATGGACTTTATTTAAATAAACCCGATCACGTTGTAAATGTCTTAAGAAGAAACAGTTTTCTTTGTATCATACTGTAATGTTAGTTTGCATGAAAAGCAAACAGGGCTAAGGATGTTTGCTGATGTCTCAATGGAAATACTATGTATTGCATTGTAAGTAAAGCATACACAGTAAAAGGAGAACTTCACATGTCTGTAAACTATCCCCATATTATTCTAAATTTCATGGATTTTCAACCTGAATTAGAAATCCACAGGAATCCTATCACTTGTAAACCTGGAGCTTGCTCCTGTCTTCACTGTGTCTGGCTGGTGTTTCATCTCAGAGAGTGATGTGGCTTTAAGGCAGAGGGCTCCAAGCAGATGGGCTGGCTGAGATGTCCAGTTTATTTGCTTTTGACCATGGAAAGTTATATCCCCTTTCTAAACCTATATCTTCACCTGTAAAATAAGGATAAAAAATAGCACATATTTCAAAGAGCAACTGTAAGAAAGAAATAAAATAATACACATGATGTGCTTATTTGCATTGAGCCTAAAACTGAGGAGAGTTTATAAATGACACCTATTTCTATTTTTCCTCTTGTAAGAGACTTTCATCAGAGGCTGAGTGAGCTGACTCGAACGACATTATAAAATACCTGCTTTGTGCAAGACATGGACCATTACAAGGACTTCAAAAAAAAACAAAAAAAACAAAAAAACAAAAAAAAAACCCCAAAACAGAGAAATGGTAGAGGAGCAGCTGTTGGCACTTTAGGAGTGTGAAAAGCACAGCATACACATACAATGCATGCACCCTCAGCCCATAAACCTCCACACCCCCTCCCACATGAATGCCAAAACAGATCACTTGGCTCATCCACATTCCCTGTGCTCCCCTCATTTTCCAGCCTCCCTCACAGTCAGGTCAGATGTTCCTCCCAGTGGCCTGTGGGCAGCTGTGAGAAGAGGTTACCTCCAGGTTGAGCAGGTTGGAGCCCGTAAACTTCCTTTGTCTTTGCTGGTTGGACCTGGGAGGCCATGGACCCGGGTCACATAGACCAAGGTGAAGGAGGCTGCCTGACCCAAATAGACTATTGTGTGAGAAATAAACTTTTGTGTATTGCAGCTGTGATATGGGGGTTGGTTTTAAGAGTTAGTTGAGTGTCATTCATTCTGCGATGGTCATCTATTACCTAAAAGGTCTCAGCTCTTGAATGACCACTGAGTGAGAGAACAAGATCCAACAGCTGCAAAAGCAGACAGCTCAGATAGGGTTTCAATAAATGATGCACCCATTAAGAGGCACCACTGGACAGACCATCCTTACAATGAGCTCTTACTGCATCTGCCCAGCCTGTATTTGGAGAAACCATCTTTTCCTTCCCACAATGGCTTATGCCATGTTGGAGACCCTCTGAAAGTGGATATTTCCCTCATCACCTTCTGGCCCTCCTAATGTTTGAGCCTCATGCCCCCCAAATCCAGGCGTCCAGAACATTGGATGTGGCTTCTTGGCAGGGGATAGTGTGGGAATGCGAAAGAATCAGATGAGTTCCAACCACAGGCAGAGGCTGTGACAAGGCAGCTGGGGATGGGCAGGACTGTTGCCGGATCGTCTACACAAGCCCATTGGAAAATAGCAACTTGTGGGATTTAGGCTGTGAACAGGATCAAAGGGGGTCAAAGGTTCCTAATGGCGATTGGGAACAGGGAAGAGCTAAGAGGCTGGCAATTACAACGTGGGCAAAGTGCAGGTCCACTCAAAACAGTAGCCAGCAGGTAGCCGTGTCTGCTATGTGCTAAGTGTCTTACCTACATGATCTGTTTTGATCATCCTGATAACCTTATGAAGTAGGACTGATTACATGTTAATGATGAAGAAACATTGAGGTTCAAAAATGGTAAGCAATTTGCCCAAGAATTACAGAATGATTAAATCTTGGAGCCAAGATTCAGATGAAATTCCTCAGACTGAAAAGCACTTATTCTCTTCACTTTAGCTCATTGCCTCCCAAGAAGGAAAAGACATGAAACAAAATGGATGGCTTCAGAAGCCGGCATGGCCATTACCTGTGTGACTTGGCAGGACATCGTTTTGGGACTTCAGAAGGAGGCCAGGAGGAAGAGGAAACTGGAAATAGGTGTGGCAGAAGCAGCAGGATCCAGGCCAGGGTCACTTTCGAAGGTGAAAATCTATTCCGGTAGCCTGGGCAATGGTAGCAGTTTCCAGTACCTGCAGGCAATGACAATTCTCGTTCCGCCTGAGGCAATGACATTCACATTCCGCCTGATCTGTTTAGCCTCTTGCTGGATGTGTAGGACAGAGTCTCACCTCCTGAGAAGGGGTCTGGGCAGGACTGCACAGAGCATCAGTCCTTCCACCTGGACCTCTGGGCAGGGCTCCAGGCCCTGCGGGTGGACTGGATGCAATTCGGAACATGGAGACAGACATGCTGCATTCTGACTAGCGAGACCTGGCAGAGCTTAGGGGACTCTGACAGTGCAGAGATTGTGAGGGAGTCCAGGCTCACCTTGGGCTGCATGGTCCTCCTGAGCAGCAGCAGGGACTGCTCTCCAGATGGCAGGGCTAAGCCTGCAGATTCTGGGGCTGCCGAGTGCCTACAGCTTAGGGTTGTGGAGAAAGTAGCACTTGACACCGGTTCAGAGAAGACAACCTGCCACTCTGAGTTACAGGCTGCATTCACTCCACTTGAGGGTCTGATACCGGATGGAATTTAGGGCCATTAGAGGCAAGGACTGAGGGTCGGTAAGGCTGGAAGGTTGGTTGGAAGGTCAGTGATATGGCTGTTGATGTGCATGAAGACGAAGATGATGAACCAGGTACCTGACATCTGGCAGTTTATAGACAGCAGATCCCTAAAAGGGTGGGGCAGGAGGCAAGGCAGCTGTCCCTCGATACCTACCAGCTGTGATCAGAGTCCCCAGGACACATCCCTCTAGTGGGAACCATGAGCTGATGACTCTTGGACTCCCACTGGTTTTGCTTGGCTTGCACAGGGTTAAAAGCTGAATTTAAATGTCCTGGGTGGGGCCTGTGTTTTCCAGGCCCACCAGTCTCATCTGATACCTAGACAGCTTTACTCAGGTGTGCCACCTGCCTGGGCGTGGGTGTCCGGGAACTGTCACGGGAGTGCCGCCAGCCTGGTTTTGTTGTCCCATGCAGAGGCAGTGGTCCAGCTTCAGACTCTTAGCTGTAGGAGTGACAGTGCAGTGAGAGTGGGCCTTGCCCTTCCCTGCCTCCCCTCTGCAAACTGTTTCCCCAGGACAGGACCCAAAAATGCCCCCCAGCAGCCCCACCATCATCCAGCTCAATCTGGAAGGGGAGAGCAGAGAGGAAAACAGAAGAGAGTTTGTGGAGAAACCGGGTGAGACAACGATTGGAAGCAGGCAGGGAAGACCAAGGGAAAGAAACGACCTTCTCCTGGGAGTCCAGATGTGATTCTGTTTTGTCTGGGAGCTCCCATACATGTATTTTTCAGGCCCTGGGATTTTAGTTACAAAGTTCTGCATGACCTGTGAGTGAGGTGGGTTGGTAGCACAGGGCTAGGAATGATGGTTCACACACGATTCTTCAAGGGCCTGGTGGAGGGGTGCCTCCAAGAGGGGGAGCTTCAGGGCCAGGGAAATACGCAGACCGGAGCAGAGCTGAATGGTTAAAACAGGGGGAGTTTGTTCTTCTTCACTGCCCAGACTGCCCCTGTCCCAGCTGCCGGCACAATCCACAGGAGGTGGGCTGTAAGTGTGAAATGCACGGCAGACACACATGAGCTCAAATACCTGGCCTGAAGAGAAGAAAGCAACCAATCCCATTAATAAGTTATGTGAAGGTTACATGCTGAACTGATAATATTTTGGATATATTAAGTTAAATAAATGATATTAAATGATTTTACTGGTTTCTTTTTACCTTTTTTTTTTTTTTTTTTTTTAGTGTGGCTCCGAGAACATTTGAAAGTACATATGTGCTTTGTATCACACTCTATTGGACAATACTAATCTAGGCTCTTCTTAAAGCTCCAGGAGCAAAATATACGAACACAGAAGAAAACATACACGTGCACGTGGACAGACACACACACACACACACACACACACACACACACACACACACACACTCTAGAGGGTTTCAGGCAGCTCCAGCAGCTGGAAGATGAGACTGCTCTAGATAAGTCTCTTGAAACTGTGATAAATTAAAAAATAACGCAGACCACCCCGCTCCTTGGGGAGCTCCTGCTGGTGCTCAGTCCCCATTGCGCTAGCGCCTGACTCCTGTGTTCCTGCCTTCGCCTCCAGCCCAGTTCAGGCTGCTTCCCACTTTCTGAACGCCACCACAGACTCAGGGTGTCAGATGTGCTGGGGGAAAACAAGCACTTACATTTTGGAAATAAGAAATCTTTTTCTCAGGCTTCGGGGTTAATGGTATGAGGGTTTCTGCATTCCAGCTGCTACGCTGGGTCTCTGGCAGGCCAGCTGTTCTCTGCTCTAATGGAAAACATAACTAAGTAGTCATTTCAATGTGTAAGAAGTTCAGCAGAATTGTTGCAGCTATCACCATAAATCAGAAATGACTTTCTTTAGGGACGCGATTGCCACTTGATTTAGCATTTCCTGGCACCTTGCCTATTATAGAATGAAGCCACGATTGCTTCCTATACAGAATGTTATCTATAAAACATCTCACCAGAAGCCCATAGACGCTGACCAGCCTACAAGTTTTGATAATCTATGACTGGCCTTGGTATTGAGAATAAATTTGACAATGGGACCCGTTGTTAAATTGGACAATATATTTCATGGAACAGCTTCCAAATGAAAATGGGATTCATATAGCTTTTTACATATCATTTGTTCCAGAAAAAGGAAAAATGGACTCTTTTCAAGTGAGAAAATTCAGCAAAATATTCAAACTGTGAAATCTGAGATATTATCCTAAGCAAACTCCACATCGACATGGTCTGTTACTGTATGAACAGGGAAATGTGAATCGGCTGAGGGAAGGGTAGGGTGACAGCCGCATTATGGAAATGTCAAGAGTTCCCTTAGCTTAGTTCCTTACATGTAAAGGAGGAACACTGTAGTTCGGAAGGTCTAGAAGGCTCTCTCCAATGCCCCCTAGCTTTTCCTGGCATGTGCGCTGTCCGGAAGAGAGGCCCAGAGGGGAAGAGGGAGGCTGCAGGATTTGTAGGTAGAAATTCTGCCTTTCACAAAGCCAGGGAGTCACTAACCCCAGCTGACACTTGTCATGGGCTGTGAGCCAAGAACAGGCCAAGAACAGGAGTGACCCTCGCTGGTGCTCAGCAGAGAACAAGGGCACTTCCCGGAAACTCCCGATGCCTTCCAAACTGAGAAAAGAACCAAGGGCAGAGACGCTCGGCACAGGCCGTCTCAGAACGGCTCGCTTCCTGGCTCCCGGGGCTGCTGAATCATCACAGGGAACTGAGAACTCCGTCTTGTTCCCTGTCCCTTCCCTTGACTTGGAATAACTCAGACTGGGATCTCAACTACTGGTTCTGGACAAACATTGGACTCCCTCTGTAATGTCGAACACACAGAGGAAAATCACCAGGAGAATGAGAAGATAGCACAGTTCAAAAAGAAGGAGCACTCTGAGGAATCAGGGATAATATTTTCCTATAAAATACAGTTTCTGCAAGAGATGGGAAAATTTTGAGAACACTTCTGATTTGTGTTTCCAATAAACTTCAAATGAGCATTTCTTCTATGAAATTCGAGTAGAGAACCATAAAGAAAATAAAACAAACAGTGTAGGGAAGGCTGTGAGAAGATTTAAAAAATGTTCGTTTCAGAAATGGAAATGGGGAAGGGGAGAGCAAAATGCACCTTTCAGTAGAAAAGGTTTTATAAGAGAGAAGTCAAATTTGACATCACAGACGTCAGAGGAAGAGGATAACAGAATGTTAACGAGAGAAAATATAGCAAAGGCATGGGCTGAGATATATTTAATTTATAAATATTAGGCATTTCAGAGAAAGAACCTCCAAAAGTGGAGCTATCATTAAAGAACTATTTGGTGGAAATTTCCCAAACTAAAGAAAGACTTTTTGGAAATCTAGACAAAATAATGAAGGGCTTTTTTGCCCAGACTTACCCTGATAATTTATTTTAATTTCAAGAATAATAAAAAAAATTTAGTGATGATCAAGGCAATAAAACTTGGTTCCTGTTTCTTTGTAACATGAAGACAATGACCAACAGTTGCAGAAATGTGACCAAGAAAAGGAAGGTAACCCACATGGGGGTTCCAGATCAAATGCAGGATGCCCAGGCAATATTAGGGGCATTCTTATACCAGAAGCGTTATTTCATGTTTATCTGAAATTTAAATCGAAGTGTCTGTCCTGGATTCTCCCATTTTGGTTCCCCTAGCTGCCATGCGGACATTGAGATCGCAACGCAGAAAAACTGCATCCTCTTGTGAACTTGAGAAGTTCAGACCCCACATGAGGGTCTGGACAGACAACAAGCCACAAAAAATGCAAACAAGAAACGTCTTAGTGAGTTATTTTTAAGCCAATTGAGTGAGAAATCAAAATATCAAATCCAAAAATGGAGAATTCATGATATAAAATACTAATAAAAATAAACAAATAACCTCTTCCCCCAAAACAAACAAACTATAGAACAAAATTAATGTAATTCTCAATAGGACATGGAAACACAACGAAAAAGAGGACACATGGTTAAAAATATTAAGTAATAGCTATCTAGTTCAAATTCCATACTGCATCACTAAAAATTGGGAATTGAATGGCCAGAAGACAAGATGTACAAGTTGAGTATATTCCTCATATCACACAGAAAAGGATCAATTTATATTGTCTTTTTTTTTTTTCCTGAAGTGGGGGTCTTGCTCTGTTGCCCAAACTGAAATGCAGTGGTGCAATCACAGCTTACTGTAACCTTGAACTCTTGGGCTCAAGTGATCCTCCTGCCTCAGCCTCCCGAAGCACTGGGATTGTGGGTGTGAGCCACCTATGCCGGGCCTGTTTTTGATCATGAAAATTAAAGAAAGTAGATTCCAATGCATACTTATTAAATGTCATTACTAATAGAATGAAAATAGTAGATATGAGTTCCAAATCACAAGGGAAAAGTCAGATTAAAAAAGTAACTTCAATATAAAGGTGTATTAAAAAGGACCATAAAACAAAATAGCAGAAATAAAACTAAGCATATAAATTATGTTAATAAAGTGATCGGGATGAGCTCTTATTTTGAATCACAGACTCACATTTGGTTAAGAGTAAAATTTAAATACTGCTTTAGTGTACCCAGTTAATCCAAAAATATTAAAAATAAGGCAACAGGCAATGATATAGTGAATGAATCCAAACAAAAAGAGACAGGAGTGTGAATATGAACAGGAGACAAGGTGGAACTCAAGGTCAAAACAGCTAAAAGAAAAAATTCACAATGAAAGTATGACAATTTTGCACACTTCTATGGTGATTAAAAAAAGCATCAAATGTAATTAACAAAAGTTTTAGCAACGAAAAAGAAAATGAGGGAAGCACCGTTGTTGTAGTAATGTCAACAAACGTGTGTTGCAACAAATCACGTGGACAACAACCAATAAGTTAGTAGAGGATGCAAACCATGTCACATATTTGTATTGCACAAATGGATAATGTACTTTTCCAAATATACTTAGAACATTGATCTACAAATTGAGTATAAAAACATCTTAACACATTTCCCAACTACCAATTAAAATATGCACTAGTGCCTAGTTTTTGGTTGTGTTGTAAAACACCCAGTGCTGTTGGGGGATCCTCACAATGATGGCTATTGTTATCATAAGATATTGACTGAGAGCCTGCAACCCACATGTGCCCCCTGCAGGGTGGCATAGACAGGGAGCCCAGGGGAGGCCACTGACATGCATTTAAGAGAAAAGAAAAGAAGCCAGGCTTTGGTCAGTTGTGAATATACTATTTCCTGACTCCCAAGTATTGGTTCATCATCCAGCTGGCAATTGTTGAGCCTTAGCCAATGGTGAAACCAAAATCTAGTGTCTCTGGAGTAATTTCCATTTCCAATAGAAGGAGAGTGACTTTCACTGACTCTTACTATCCATTTGGATTTCAGGCATAAGTGCTTCATGGTGGAATGAGAACAGCTCGCCCTGGAAGGGTCATGTTTTAGAAGGAGTGATCTTCATTGTGAAGTCTAAACTGTTCTGGAAATATAAGCTTTGAAACCCAGGTAGGCAGGTTTCATTTTAAGCAACATTGCAGGACCACAGGGTAATTATTGGTTTATAAGGTGATTCTTCACTGTACAAATTAACTCAAGGGATCTTAAATATTAAACATGTTGGTGTGTTGCAAATTTGATTAGGTTTTCACATGACTTCTCTAGAATGCATTTATGTGTACCTATGAGCAAAAATTATTGACTGTCTTACCAGGGCTCCCAACGGGGTCTAAAATGAGAGCACGCAGCTCTCCTTGACAGGAGTGGTGTGCTTAAAGACAAAGTCACCTGCAAGGTTAGTAAATTGTTTTTAATAAGTAGATAATGGAGAAAAAGCATGAAAATGTTTCCTTCAATATGTGGCGTGGGCTCCCTTCTAATCTGATTCGGTGGTGACTTTGTATTTTTAAGGAGCTGAACTCCTTGGCTGTCCTTATCCAGGTTTGCAGAATCTGACAAAGAATGGTGTTGAACAGCTCCTCAGCCATGAGGCCCCTGAAGTTGCCAGAGCCCCACTTGTCCTGTCCTGGGTCACCCTGCCTGTCAGAGAACGGAGTCCAGTTCACATACTCCCTGTCTGAGACTTTTATACCTAGTTCCATACATACACAATCTTATCCTGAGCTTTTAATTTAAACACTTACATCAGTTATTTACAGCTGTATGATTTCATTCTACATGGTGGTGATATTTTTTTTCTCCAAATATGGACTCATTGGATGATCATAAATAAAGCAATCTGGGCGTAGGAAATGGAGTATCCTTCCCGCGGGGTCATTCCAGGGGAGGCAGGGAAGGAAGCAGAGCCTCGCTATTTCGGGAAAGCTGATGGACACTTCGGCTCCGAGGCTGGCCGGGAGGGCCCATAGCTAGGCGGCAGCTGCCCTCAATCTTACAGCTTTAATGAAGGAGGGCTGCCGGATTTGCATTGTTTAAACACTTAACGAAATTAGCTATGAAAAGAAGGATGGGAGGAGCCCTGGGTAGTGGGGGAATTTAGGCCTTCTGTCTTCACACACTTTATACACACACACAGACACACACACACAAAATGCTTTTCCCAAGAGGCTGCCAGGAGGAACTGGCAAGAAATTATGTGCCTCTTTACAGAAAGATTAAAAGCAACAACAGTGACAAAACCGCCTGCTTTGGAAAGCTGTGCCTGGCAGGGGCTGGTCAGGACTTTGGCACTCTGGGCCCATGGGCTGGGCTGATTTAGAGCTGGCTCTGGATCAGCAGGGCGAGTGCTGGCCTAGAGTGGTGGATCTGAAACCTAAGGATGAGATCCCAGGGGCTTCAGTGCTGGGAATGGAAACACTGGGATGGCGGTGGGAGCTTGCAGGCCCAGCTCTCTGAGTCTCTTTCAAAGTATTCCTGGTCTACTAGATTTTCAGTTCAGCTCTAGTTGACTAGAACAGAATTATGTCTAAGAATGTTAAACATTGGGGTGATCTCTAGCGGATGGCCACAGAACTCTGTCATTGAACCTATTCTCTTCAACATTTTAATCAATGGGTTGAATGACATCGTGGAAGACATACTTACCTAACATTCCAGTAACAAATATGAAAGCACATATGAAATAGAAAATAAAATCATAAGTGAAAATAAATGTGAAAAAATGGTCAATTGAGCTGAGATCAACAAATTGAAACTTGCAGGAATAAATGGAAGATTCTAAAATTAGATTCCAGATATTCGTTTCATAAGCACAATGTAGGAGAACCTAGCTGGGTGGATAGGACACATCAGAAAACCCTCTGTGACTCTAGTTGAGGAAAAATCACTGATGCTCTTACCAGGGCTGCCAACAGGGTATAAAATGAGGAGACCACATCTCTCCTTGACAGGAGTGGTGTGCTTAAAGGCAAGTCACCTGCAATGTTAGTAGATTGTTTTTAATAAGTAGATAATGAAGAAAAAGCATGAAAATATTTCCCTCAATATGTGACATGGGCTCCATTCTAATCTGACTCGGCGGTGACTTTGCAATTTTCAGGAACTAAGCCCACAGCAAGCCCCACAGAGCCAGGACTTGCTCCCTTTAAAAACCCAGCAGATCTGGATTGCCTCTGAGGGGAGAGATGCTCCAGGCCATTGCTACAGCACTGCAAGTGCCATGGCTTTCTGAAGTAACAGGTGGACACTGTTTAGTCCTCTTTAAGAAACAAGATTGACTTTTCCCCCTAAATGACATCATGAAGCATCTTTAATGAACAGAATTTATTTCTCACAGTTCTAGGGGCTGAGAAGTCCCAGACCAAGGCACTAGCAGTTTGGTGTCTGGTAAGGGCCTGCTTCCGGATTCATAGAGGCACCTTCTCACTGTGGTCTCATACGGCAGGAAAAGCATGAGAGAGTTCTCTGGGATCTCTCAGGGCACTCATCCCATCATGGGGTGCCACTGTCATGATCTCATCTAAACCTAATTACTTCCCAAAGATCCCATCTGCAAATATCATCACATTGGGGGTTAGGCTTCAACATATGGATTCTGGGGGGACAAACAATCCATGGCACTGTCCTGTAGCCCCTAAGTCAGCACTCTCTGCCCTGGGTGTTTCTCCCCCAAGGTCCACATCACCATGAGCCTGCCCTGTGTTTCCTGAGGATCTGCCACCTCCTTGGGTCATCACTGCCCCTCCCTGTCATTCTCCTCTGTTGGCTGTTTCAGAACTCAAAGGCCCATTATTACCATGGGGCTATTGTTACATCTTCCTGGCTGGTCTCTCCTCTCTCCCAACTCCTCCTACTTCTCCCTCTGCTGGAATAATGACTTTGGTTGGGATGAATTTAATCATGCCAGCCCCACTTAGCATCTTTGGCTGACTCGCAGCTGCCCAAGGTTGCCCCCCGGGTTCTGACCCTGGCCTTTGCCCACGTTTCCTGCCCTGATCCCGTCTCTCTCTCTCTGGGCTCACCCTCCCAGCCCTCATTGCTTCCCCAGTACTGGTTCCTGCAAACTGCTTTCTCGATGCTCCAGTTCTTCCTTTTTCTTCCTCTCTGCCTGGTGAACCTCTCGCATCTTTCGAGGTCAGGATGAGAGGCTCTTCCTCAAAATGTTGCAGTAATTTTGCCTCCTTGAAAATTAATTGCTTTTTCTTGGGATTATAAAGGTTTCTTGACCATTTCTCTATAGAAACAAATCCTGGATTTGAGTTCCAATTCTGTCCCATATTTACTGGTGACTCTGGGCAAGTCCTGACAGGCCCTGGGCAACCTGGCCTGTCAGAATCCCAGTGTCTTTGTGTAGAAAGTCAGAATAGCATGGTTACCTCTGTGCTGTGGACAGAATTGTGTTCTCCCAATTCATATGTGAAGTTCTCACCCCTGTTGTGATAGTATTTGGAGATGGGGCCTTTGGGGAGGTGATTAGATTTAGGTGAAGGACTTGAGGGTGGGTCCTCATGATGGGGTCAGTGTCCTCATATGAAGAGATACTAGAGAGCTTGCTCACTGCCATGTGAAGACATAGCACATAGGCAGCTGTCTACAAGCTGAGGAGAGAAGTCTTACCAGGAACCAATCCTGCTGGAACCTTGATTTTAGATTTTCAGTCTCCAGAATCATGAGAAAACAAATCACCCTTGTTGAAGCCACCTGGTCTGTGGTATTTTGTTACGGCAGCCTGAACTGCTAAGATACTTGGCAATTGTCATGAGGTTTAAATATGATTCCATCAGCTGTCCTCTGTGGGGTGACCCTGGCAATCCGTAGCCCACACACCAATGGAACTGGCACATACTGGGGGTCTCAAGTTGTTATTGTTGTTATTCTCATTATTATTTTAGGTAATTGCATGAATCTACTTTCTCTCCTATCTTTCCAGCTCTTTGAAGATGGGACCTAGACTTATCCATTTTTCTAACCCAGAGCTAGTCTAGAGTTTGGCACGTAATAATCACATAATGAATATCTGCTACATGAATAAATAAGCTTATATTTTAATATAATATGCTGTTCATTACAGAAAGGACATCAACGTAATGAAGTAGCTTAGAAGTAATAAAAATAATGAGCAATAATTAATTATGTACTTTGGGCCACTTTTCATGCAGTACTGAATTCTCACAGGAAGTCTCAGACGAAGACACTGCCAACTCCACTTTCAGAGAGAAACGCTGATGCTCAGAGCTAAACTAACTCGCCTCAGAGCCCACATCCTGGACTTGAGCTTCAGGGTGTCACACACCAAAGACTGTCCTCTTCACCCCAGCTTCCTGGGCATTGGAGCGGATCCAACTTGTCAGATGTGCAGTGAGAACAGCCCCCATTTCCAAGCCACTTCCTGACCTGATGGCAGCACCCTGCTAGTCCTCACATGGAGCCCTGGAGAAGTGGGGTTCCTTAATCCAGATTCGAATCAATAGCCTCACACCTGGTATGCACATCCAGGCCAAGTGTGGCTGAATGGGGAGCGTCTGTTCTGGAGACGACCACCCTCATGGGCTCCTCTGTTTCCTGTCCCTTCGGGCACTGATTTATGGCACACAGCAGGGAATGGCCTGAGCTTGAGCCTTGACAGTCGTCATCATCACCATCCTCATTTGAGGGCCGTGAAGAACATTCTGAAAGTAGAGATGAAGGTCTTCTTTCTGAGTGAAGCTCCTTGCATGATTCAGGGGTCTTACTCTTGAAGGCACCAATCGTTTTGACTTTAATGCATGCACTCTGACTTATCTGCGGTGATCTCTTCTGGCAATACATGGAAAAATGAAAAATAGGCTAACTGGGAAGATTTCTTAAATGCCAGTTTGTATGGCTGTGTTAACCTGAATGATTAAATATAGAATTGTTTTTTAAGTTACACGTTGTGGGTTTGTGTTTTCCTCATTAATATCAATTGGTTCATTTATTTCTGCTTGCTCAGAAGCCACAGAGTTCAACAGAACTGCCTGTGTGTTTGCTGCATCTACTAAACCACCATGATCTTACTGAGTATATTTCTTAATATCCTTTTCATATATGTCATTTTTGTTAAGTTCTATAAACCAGAACTGAAAAAAAGATTAAAACTTCATCTATTTACAAAACATTTTCTTGATGTTTTGGTAACAAACAATTTTGCACTTAGAGCTCCCACTTCAGATGTTATTCTTTTTTTTTTTTTTTTTTTTTAGACAAAGTCTCGCTCTGTCACCAGGCTGGAGTGCAGTGGCATGATCTCGGCTCACTACAGCCTCTGCCTTCTGGGTTCAAGCCATTCTCCTGTCTCAACCTAGTGAGTAGCTGGGATGATCTTTCTATTTTACACAAAACTTTTAATCCCTCTTCAGGGGAACACATAGCCCTAGGTATATTTGGTAAGGTGGTAGGCGTGCAACTACTCAGTGCTGCTGGTGCAGTGTGCAAACTGGCACAGGCAATGCAAAACAAATAAACATATCCCAGCAAAACTTAATTTACAAAACAGGCAGTAAGCACATGAGGCCTTCAAGCCAGAGTTTGCCAACCCCTGTTGCACAGAGTCAAACATCTCAGTTCAAGCCCTGTCTCCATCATTAACCAGTTCTGTGGTTGGGTGTCAATGGGAGCCTCAGTTTCCGCATCTGTAAAATGGGCATTATAGCCCCCTAGTCACCTTGGAAGGAGCTCACTTCCACATTGGCAGCTCTTGCATTCTGGAGGTGATACATTCAAACTGTAGCCATGTCTGCAGCTGGGGTTGATCTGGGGAGGGGGTTGGAGAACTGAGCCTGAGTCCCACAGGTATGTACACCAGGGAAGGGCCTAGAATGTGGAACAGGATATTACCCAGGGAGCTGTCTGCCTCTCATATCCCAGAGAGATGGCAGACTCCCCTCACAGAAGCAGTGAGTTAAAAGGCGAATAGAGATCATGTAGATTCGGAAAACACTGGCGAGCGGTCTCATCTCCCCTCCCTCATCACGTTCGCGTCTTCCTCAAACAAGGGATGGACCTTCCAGTAGATTAATTGGTGATCTTGACTCTGAATCTTTTACGGTCTGTGGTTCTGAAGCCAGGTCCACACCTGGCTGCCTCAGCAATGGCCTGGAGTTCTGGATGTTGTCAGGACAAAGGGCTTGAGTGTGTCCCCTCTGCCATAGGAGCCCAGCTTAGAGACACCAGGCTTCAAGGGACTTTACCTAGGAGGCAAAGGGCAAGGGCAGGGGTGCCCTGGCAAGGGTGTCTGTGTCAGTGGCTGCCAAAGCCCTGAGGTGGTCCAGGGGCCAGGGAGAGGGTCCCCGTAGTCGGGATCCTCACCCTTCCTCCCTTCCTTCCCAAACACGGAGGAGTGAAGACCTAGAAAGCAGGAGACGGGAGGGAGCAGAAGAGCCTGTGGGGCACTTGCAGGACAGGCCTCAGCCAGGGACTTCTACAGTGGTGGCTGTGGGAGCTGAAGGGTATTTCATGTAGGGAGGGGGCTGTGTTTGTGGGAGAAGGGGCCAGAGAACTTCCTTATGACCTGAGAGGGACTGACAGGCACGGAGACTTCCTCCAGGGGCCATCAGGAAGTGGCAGGTGGGGAGAATGACTGGGAGGGGACCCTGGCCCTTTGTGAGGTCACTGATCTGAGTGGACCCTCCCCACCCAGCTGGCCATGGTGAGGAGGCCGCAAAGACCTGAGGCAGGGGCTCAGAGTGCAGACAGAGGCTGGGGCAGGGTCGGGGCTATGACAGCATGGGAGGGGGCTATGGGCTGAACTGGGTCCCCTGTACCCCATAATTCCTACGTTGAAGTCCTAGCCCTCAGCATCTCAGAATGTGACTTTATTTGGAGATAGGGCCTTAGATTACATAATTAAGTTAAAATGAGGCCATTAGGGTGGATCCTAATCCAATATAGAGTGTCCACATAAGAAGAGGAGATGAGGACACAGATGCACACTGGGGTGAGACCATGTGAAAATGCAGGGAGAACGCAGACATCTGTAAGCCCAGGAAAGAGGCTCAGGAAAAACCAGCCCTGCCACACCTCCATCTCAGACTTCTGGCCTCCAGCCTGAGGAAACCGCTTTTTCTGCAGCTTAAGCATCCCAGTCTGTGACACTCTTCATGGCAGCCTGAGCACATGAATTCAGGAGGGCCAGAAAATCGCTTCCCTCACACCCTTCCCCAGCCCCACTGAATTGCTGCTTCCTTCTCCCCTGTCCCCACGGCTTCCAGGATGGAGACTCAGTTGACAGTACCTGTACCTCTTTGTTGAACCCTCCTTCCCCATCTCATTTCACCAATTCCTACAAATTCCTGCTGATCCTGCATCTTAGATAATTTCACTGGGAATAGAATGACCTCATAATTTACTACCAAACAGGGACGCTTTAGAAGTGAAAGTAATTGTGAATTATATAAGACAACAAGCAGACAGCAGGCCTGACCTGGCAATGGAGGGGCAAAGGTGGCCCTTAAGTACACCCCCTTTCTTACCTCCATGGCTTATTTCAGGTCCTCATCCTTCACCCCCCGAATGACTGACAGGCCTTTCACTTCTCTCCCTGCCTTTGCACTCAGCAACATCCTTCAGTAGATACTTGCTAAAACACAAATCAAATCATGTTACTGCTTAGCCAATAAAATAACCACCACAAAATCAAGAAGTAGAAGACACACAAAAACTTAATTTCAGAGATTCTTTGTTGCCTTTAGGCATGAGAAGAGCCAAATCCCTTACCAATGCACCCCGTTCCTCTCCAGCCCCTCCCTTCCAACCCTAACCTCCCGTCCTAAGGGACTGAGCTCAATTTCTCCATGATTCAAGGCTGCGTCTTGTTTCTCTGAACATCAGTGCTATTTGCCTAGGACACTGTCTCATTCCTTACCTGCCACCTTATACTCAAGATTCAGGTCAGTCATCCACTGGGGAATATGTGTGAAGGATTACTAGCCAGAAGGTTATTTGCTGGTGCAAGCAGACAGCAGAGGCCAGTTAGTGGAATGAGGACTGTGACTGTGAAGGTAAGTCAGGTCCAAGTGCTATGTGAGCAAGGAGGAGAGGCCTCACCCAAACTGGAGGGTCAGAAGACCTTCTAGAAGGCTGGTTTGGGAGATCTGTTCCCTTGAAGGAGAAAGGAAGAATCAGGTTCACCAGTGGAGATGGGGAAAATATTCCAACCAATGGGGCAGGATGTCCCCAGAGAGGGGAGTGGGCTGGACCTTTACAAGAACCTAAAAGAGGTTCAATGTGGATATATCACAACATTTCCAGTCCCCAAGGAGTACCCTGCATCCCCCTCCCAGGTGCTAATCCCCCATGGGGAACCACTGACTTCTGACAGCATCCATCTGGCTTATACACTTTTGGACTTGCATAAATGAAACTGCATAATCTTCAGTCTTTTTACTTGTCCCCTGTCTCCATTAGATACTGAACTTCTTGAGGGCAGAGATTGCGTCTTTTGTCTCCTTGTCCTCAGTAGAAGTTCAATAAATGGTGTTGGTGAATGAATGAATGAATGTGTGGCCACGGCTTTACAGGGGCCTGGAAGCCTGGGGATGAGCCAGGATCCTGGCCCGGGCTGCTCTGTTCCCACACACATTGAGGTGATCAGGTGTGGAGTGCATTGACCATGGGTCTTTGAAGGGACCCTTGACTCAGGGGAAACCTCGAGACTGTGTCCAGGGGACTTTTACTTTAGTTTGAGTGCACCCTAAGTTAGCAATGTGATGTTCATGATGGGCTTAGCCTTCCCATGTGCGAAATGGAATGTTAATTTGTCTGTGTCAGATCAGGGAGGGTATACTGTAGCTCCCCAGAAAAGACAAATTTTAAACAGCAAGCAGATCCTGCAAAGTGATTCTTGACCAGGTCCTGTGTGTCATGGCCTACGGTGAGGCATTCTTCTGCTCTCAGAGAGCAGAGCAGGTAAAACACAGCCAATGGCTATTGTCATTGGTATAAATAAATGAAGAAGTCTTTTTTCACCCAGAGGAGGATTTTTGTGTGTATTCTTTTGGTTTTGTCCTCAGGGAGAAATACTGTAGCCAACACGGATCCCTCCCACTGCTCCCTCTGAAGCTCCTCCAGCGTCTACCTGTGTTGCTTTCATGGTCCTTTGGAACTTCCAGTTTGCTTTTCAGGTGTGCTCGCCTTAAGAATTAAACTGCGAGTGACCTGAGGCTGGTCCATGTCAGATTCTTCACTTCCAAATGTCAATCTGTCCCTCCTCTCTCCCATTGGGTTTTCTCTCTGTTGAGTGCTCAGGGAATACTTGAAAAAAAAGTTTCCATGGGGAGAAGAATTGGGATCAGAGGAGCCCAGCACAGAGAATGGGGCCTGAGCCCTGGTGGGCAGAGGGCTGTGGATTCATAACAGGATGTAGGGACATCACACTTTAGCTCTCTTGGTAATTGTCCCTCAGGCTGGATCTGCTGATGGGCAGCTTTTGGGAATGCATGTCTGCTATCACTGAGATGGTGGTCTCTGCATACTAAGGCAGGCTGTCAGGGAAGATGAGCTTTGACAAAGGTGGTCTCAGCCAGCTGGGGCTGCTGTAACCAGTGACCACAGACTGGGCGGCTTAAACAACAGACACTTCTCTGGAGGCTGGAAGTCCAGGATCAAGGCACTGGCAGATCTGGTGTCTGGTGGGGGCTCTCTTTCTGGTTTGCAGATGGCTGTCTTCTAGCTATGACCTCACATGGTGGAGAGAGAAAGAGAGAGAGAGAGAAAGAGAGGAATCCACTCTCATGATCTCCTTACCTCCCAAAGGCCCCACTGCCCAGCACCATCACACTGGGGGTTAGGATTTTGACATAAGATTTTGGTGTGTTTTGGGGGGGCACAAGTGTTCGGTGCATGATGAGGCTTTCAGCACCCAGGCTGGCCTCGCATTGATACAGCAGGTCC